CAGTTGCTAAAATACAGTGCGCTAGTGACTATTTCTCATAACTATGAACAAAGAACAAAGAACAATGATATATTACAGGTAAAAAAGCGATTGCTTTACAAGTCCCGTAGGATGGTTGAAGTGAAAGTAAACATGTGTAAATCGTCAATTTAAGCGTCTAGTGAATTCAAGCACCGCTTATTCATAGAAACGTTGTAGAATGTGTACTGAATTGTTACTGTAGGGTAATATGGGAAGTAATATGGGTAAGGCATGTCTTAAGAACAAGAGAAAAGACCAACGCTTACTCGTGCGCCGCTTTCTTGGACTGGGGTAAACTGATGAATGCAGTTGTAATATATCCGAAACTATATTCCACAACAGCAGTGTGTAAGTAGTAAAGCACAAAAGCTGAGAATGAGCACCGTTTTTCTCGCGTTTGGTTGACGTAGACATCTCTGATTATATAGCCTAATGTAGGTGGATAAGCGAATCATCCAGACGTCTTTGAATACCGTTAGCGTGGGGGGGGGAGAAACAACGTATGTGGGAAGAGCGTCCCAGTGTTCGTATACATGAAGGGAAAAGAAATTCCGGCGGCATTCCAACCGGCTGTACTGTGTGGCCAGCTTTAGCCGGTGTCCTCTGAGTGTTGTATTGATATTCAGCTTTAGTAGGTGCCGACAACAATGGTCTGGATTCCTCAGGATCAAATAAGTCATGATCAAATCGCCACGCAGGCGTTGCTATTGTCTACTGTAGACGCCGAGGGTTTTCAGCCTCAATCGGTAAGGGAGGTGAAACAGGCCCTTTACGTTCTTGGTCGCCCTTCGTTGTGGCAGTTCAAGAGCGGTAAGGTCTTGCTTTTGCCATGGCTGCCAGGCGTGGATGGCGTACTCAGAATGAGGCCAAATGTAGGCGTTGAGCATCTGAGAAAAGATGGAAGGATCGAAGCGCCCGAATGCCCTGCGCAAAAGGCCAAGGTGTTGGTTAGCTTTTATGGAGGCTTTCTCGGTCTGACGGGAACAGCCCAGATCTTCCTGCACTACCACTCCTAGATCGCATTCCGTTGTAGTGCGCTGCAATATTTGATCCCCCAGTCTGTATTCGCAAGTGGCTTTATGGCGTATGCTCAACACCTTGCACTTCGTAGCGTTGAACTGAAGCAGGTTCTGAGTCGACCATTCGTAGACCCTGTCCAGATCATCCTGAAGTGCTGCATTGTCGCTGGTTGTTCTAATGGCCCGCCATATCTTGAGATCATCAGCGAAGAGTAAGGAGTTGGAGTTGATTGCTGTTGCGAGATCGTTTATGTAACTCAGGAATAGTTCTGGACCAAGTACTGAGCCCTGGGGCCCTTCTCACTTAACGTCGGTTGGGTCAGAGATGACGCCGCGAACTCTTACATTCAGATGTCGTTGAAACAAGAATTTAGCTATCCAACCGAGGATTGGATCACCACAATTCCACAACACTGTAGCTTGTGAAGGAGGATACGGTGGTTCAGACGGTTGAAAGCCTTTGAGAAGTCTAGGTATACTGCGTCAACACCTACGCCGCTGTCAACAGTCTCAGTCCAACTGGATCTGGCAAGCAGCAAGTTTGAAGTGCAAGATCGGTTCTTACGAAAACCATGTTGTTCTTGTGCTATGATTTGCGTTCTTCCACGAAGTTCATCAGCGCTTCGGCAATAATCGCTTCCATGATCTTGGAGAGCGCCGGAAGTAGTTTTATCGGGCGATAGTTGGCCGGATCTGTACGACTTCCTCCCTTATGGATGGGAGTGACGAGGCCTTGCCTCCACATTGTTAGCACGCGCATCTCATCGAGGCACCGTTGGAAGAACTTGCAGAGGGGGTCCGCCTGGTTTACTGAAACCATTTTCAACGCTTTCGAACGAATATTATCAACACCGGGAGAGGTATGCTCGCGCAGGGCAATTAGCCTTTTCATAACATCCGCAGTCGTAAACGTGATGTGGCTAAATCCTGGTGGTGGTACAACGAATGGGAACAGGGTATGCGGCGATGTTGTGCTCTGGAAGTTCGGGGTGAATTGTTGACGTAGGGCGTTGGCCGTTTCGGTTGCGTTTTGTGCGAGTCCACACATCATCCTTTATTCTGATGATGAATAATTGTTAAAATCATACCCCAAATAGATATGACAATGGATATTAAATCTTCGCAATTGCAAGAAAACTGGATTTGCTCCTTAAAAGATTAGCTTTAACGGCACCTTCCCGAATAAGTGTGCCAACTGTTCGTGCTTCTCTCAAAATCAGGTTTTGGTATCAAAATAACCTTACATGTAAAAATGTCACTTCTGTCAAGTTCTGTTGTACTGTACGTGCTACGTTTATTACAACTAAGTGACAGTCAGGTTAACTTTAATATATATATAATAGAACTTATATAAAAGTGCAGTTAGTGCGCTCCACGTAGAACCTCAAAATGTTCATCTTGCTTTTGTTAAAATCCGAGTAAAATGTCAAAATCTAGACGCCGTGCCCCTGCAGGCTTAATAAAATGAAGTAGCTAAGTGACTATCCGGTGCAACTGGTACTGCAGGCTCAGCATTAACCTAAGGTGTTGGTCAAGTATGCATAAGTAACTTGGGTGGTGGGTGGTTTGCAATTATCAGACAGGTGATAAGCAACATCAGCGCATGTATACATGTAAACACATTCAGTTGCTATCTGCAGGATTATTGCCTGAACCGAATAGGTATGTTAAAATAGTACTTCATACCCCATCCTAGAAACTAAGAAAAGCACGGACCCTGGCACTTATTTTTTATCGATTGGAATTAGACCACCACAAGTTACGTGTGATATGAGCGAGCTAACTTATACGCAACCTTGAATACTGTGAACAAAGTTAAATAACAGAATCAAATATGTCTTTTTAGTGGCACGTGACGTAGAACTTTCATTAGCGCAGAAATAAATGCAGGGTGCAAAAGCAAGAGGGCAGTTTTTTCTGCTTTGTAAACCAGTTCATCGCACGTGTAGCTCAGCGAGCCTTCAAGCATACGCCACAAAAGGGAGCTCCCTAAGTGGCAGGAAAGTGAGACGCATGCTACTGATGCTAAGTGTTTGCTGGGTTTGGTTAAACTAACCGCTGACGGATGGGTCAGTTCAGAATCCCATGAATATTATGAATATTATGAATATGAATATGAATATTATGAATTTGAATATGAATATATTGTCTAGGAAATTTCTTAAATAAGCTTTTATAACGCATCTTTGCTTGAAATAATGCATTTAGGGTCGTCCTATAACCGTAAGTCGACGTTATCTACAAAAACCGTCCAAACCAGATAAGGTTTTCTCCTGCATCCTTCATTAAACAACACACTTTGTGTATGATAGTACGCAAGTCTCATTTTACACGTCCGTAACTAACAGCTTGATTACCATTACAAAGATCCGTTTAGAGTGTTTTGGTTGCAAAAATATGAAGCCGCTTCTAGAACTTGTTGACGCGTGTGGTGTATGGTGATGTGTACCAAACGTAGACGATTTCTCACAAAATATTTAGGTTAGGTTTATAAGGGCGACGTATTTTACAGTTTGCTAAACGCCACTTGAAAATCTACCTTTTTAAGTTATAAAAATATATTTGGCTGATAGGAACTTCGTGTTTTCATTTCGGTTCTGTCCTAACATAACTACCTGTTGGTAAACGAGTTCAGAACACATAAAGTTTAGTATGATCTTCATGGGTGAATGCGTGGTTAAAATTTTTAGTTTGATTTGTTCATAATTGATTAAATTTTGTGACTGAAATTACTTAAGGTGGTTGGATGGCTGTGTGGTATGACATGAAGTTAGCTAGTAAGAGTTTGCTACCCACTTTACATCAAATCGGGATCTCTCCCATAATCAGTTGTATATGCTCGATTTGTTGGTAGATGCAAAAGAAAACGAAAGGCGGTTTGCTTGAACTCTTGTTAATACAGTGGTATTCCAACCGTACTCGGACAATGAACTCAGCTGAGGCCACTTAACCTATTAACTTAGTTCAATAATCCCGTGGTTTCACTAACCTAATGTTTGTTTGTAGCTTCATTCGCTATCGGAGTAGAACCTAGCGTGTATATATCTATTAACTGCAAAAAGATAAAAAAGGAAAAGCCTGGACAGCGCGACATCGTAGTAACTCATAATAATGTGGCACAATGTGCTAGCAAACCGGGTAGGGAGCGTATAAGAAGACATTAACGATGAAAAACACAAGTACGAGCGTGCATACACCAGTTGGTAAACCATTTTACGTGTTCCTGTGGGTCAAGGTACAAAGGCCGTACCAACAGACATTTGTCTGAATGTGTCCGCGAACAAGACCCAGAATACCAAGCCGAGGAATAAACGAAGCGTGCACTATCGCGATAGTCGCACATCTAGCCCAAACGAATTATCCCATCGTTATCACTGACGGTTTCCGCCTGATCTACTGTATGAGGATGTCCATTCCAAACTTGTCAGATGCAGAACCATTGTACTACCGGATGCAATTGCGACTCGTCTCAACGATCCACAGTTGTGTGTACACAAACGGTTGGTCAAGGCTTTGGTTTTATCAACGCCAGCTGCATTCGGACAGGTTTCGCGCAATCAACTCACAAACATTTGAGGCAGCTAAGCTTTCGTTTCTTAGTGACGCAGTCCACTTCCTCTAAATTTAATGACATGCATGTATTGCATTAGGTTTTTTGAGGAATCACCGAAAACATGCTTGTTCATAACCATCTTAATAGTCAAATCATGACACTAATGACCAGGAAACATAAAACACAGTGAGCTCAAAAGAGGCCACAAATGAAGAAGAGTATAGTGGGTTGCCTTTAATGGGGATAAAACAAATTAACTATACCAAAGGGTGTAACTTTCCCTCCGATAGAATGCCACACATTTGACAAAATAACTAAAGTAGATGAATTCCACAAAAAACCTAAATAAAACTGTCAAAACAGTAGAAGAAAAATGCAAACGTGGAAATAAATACTAGATGGATTACCTTTGGATAGTCGATCGTAAAGTGACTGACAAGGTTTTCTCGAAGGCGAGCATCTAACCCCATAAGTGGTTTTACGATAGATACTCCAGGACAGACGGGCGGCGGTTCAACGTGTCGATACATGGAACGTCTTCTAAGAGTAATTAAGCTACCTTTTGCAAAACTTACACAAAGAAAATTGACAGGAAAAAGAAAGCAAGCTGATGAAGATAGACCCATATAACAAATGTCGACAGAAAAAATGATATCAATGGGCATATTATGTCAACTTCAAACATGGTGTATCCTTAAAGCTCGAAGAAGCGAAATGCTAAATTTCCGCGTTTTAAAAGGTTTTAAAATACGCGCTACAAGCCATACCACCAAATATTGCCTTGAGGCAGCAGCCTTGAATAGGACAATTGGAGCAGTAGAACACTTGTTAAACATAATGATATCGTAAACCCGCTTAGCAAATATTATGACTTTTGCGCTATTAGTCAGCCGGATATTTTGCCTTAAAAATTATAGATAAGAAATAGGTCGTCACTTATTTCTCTTATTCTGTTGTGATTGTAAGCAATTTGCCTACTTGTATCTTCACTCTTCCACAGTTCGCTGCAATTCAAGTAAAGTTGTGGTTGACATTACTGTATGCATAACGACTGGTCCAAGCTCGTCTTCCCGTGGATCTTCCTTGGTGTCAGCCGGTTTGTGTTTATGCGCTCTGCTGCCTGACTAATCCATCGTCAGATTATACGTGCGTACACCTCGGCAGAGGTTGAGATCTGCCGTCGTCAGACGCTGACATGAAGCACTATCTTTGTATATTATGTGAACCTTATCTGTAACAGATTTTGTATTCTTACTTAGCGTGTGGAGCATAACGCATGTACTGGATGCGACGAGAACCAGTAGGGACTAATACCGATAACAATTATTCAGAAGTGATTACGTAGGCATCCCTAACATCTCTTTTAATGAGCCCTATTTAACTATAAGCAAATTAGCAAGTGCATAGTGCAAGGAAGCTTGCGAACGAGAGCGTCGGATTAATCGAAAACAGCTGATCGTACTTTGGGTGCGGTACTGTTTGCTGTACTGGCTGCTAAGGAGGAATGTTTCGAAGTACTTTGCAAAGACTCGAAAAGGATTTATTACAGGTATATTGATTTAGGGGAAATTAAAATAGTGGTGCATTTTTATACGATGTATGAAACGGTGTTGGTTTTAGTGGGCAGGTGTTGCTTCGGTTTCGCCGCAATGGCTGTGGATGACACTGTGGCGTTTCGGGTTACTTTTCGTCAACATTATAAGGCATTTGATGCATTCAAGGAAAAGTTCAGACGGTTTCAAATTCAGATGGCGACAAGTTTTTACAAGTATGACGTATTGACCACTCTGTCATATAAGAGCAGGTCAGTTCAAGAGCTACCCGACGGGGTGCGGCACAAATGGGTGCAATATAGTTGTGTCCATTGCAACAGGAAAGGAGAAGGTGGCTGTCGGTAGCTTACAAGTAGCCACTCCCTGACTCTCCAACCCTCATTTTCTCTTGCCGTCTGTCTCTCTTAAGCTTCGCTCGCACGTTGGTGTGTTCATGGAAACTGTAAGTATCCAATAGTGGTCAAAAGTCTTAATGATATGGCTGCACCAGCCACTGATTCATTCTTTTCTAGAGCCACTATCTCTGCTTAGCAGCAGTTATTTACCATAGCCTCCATTTAACTCTGCGGATATCCGGAGCTCTGTAGGGTCGCTCCCTTCTTACAATATTCATTCACTTGGATTGTTTGCTTTACAGCTCAATGGTTTGTTGACCTATTATGTGCCACCGTAAGATCCACTAGTAACTGGAGGCTTAATCCCAACTCCAAAGCTAGCCATTCATCTCTCTCCTAGCGCGCCATTATCCGTCGTTCATCTTACTCGACTCAAATTTTCTTGACAATAGCTAGTCATTGTTGGCTCCATGTAGCCTACAAGGAGCCACTTATTGACTCTCCAGCCTTCATTTTATAAATAAATAAATAAATAAATAAATAGGTATATTTCTAGACCTGCTAGAGGCTGCACCCTAAAGGGTTCAGATCAATGCTTACATTTATCCGATGCTCTTGCATGGAAGTTGGTAAAATATATGTTCATCGTTAGCAATTGCAAATGCATTGGCACTGTTTAGTATACAGCTATTGGGTCGCCCACCTTGACATTTTTCTGGTTCCTTCGGGCGATATTGAGCTCCTTGTATTTCATTGTGAATACTTCGCGGAGGTGTAGTTTGCCTTTTCCCCTTGAAACAGAATCCAATTTGCCACAAGTTCACTTTAAATTGATCGCACAATAATTGGCCACTCAGTTGCCCCAATTGTTGTTGCGCACATGGAAGAAATTAATGAAGGAATTATAAGGCATACGAAAAGTAAAAACAATTCCGAAAAATGCAGACATAAATAGAAGCAATTTGTTAAGAGGGAAAATAAATCTGCGTGCTTCAGTAGAAAAATACCCATTAACAAAAAAATATAGCCCTACTTTTATTACGCTGATATTGCTCTACGGCGCAAAATTCCAACCTGAGTTATTCTCAGATAAAAGAAAAAGCCCTTCTAAAGTTAGAATACCGCTTAAAGTAGCACCAAATTACACTTGTCTAGACGAGCTTTAGCGCCTGAATACGACGAATGCAAAAGCAACACCATGCGTGCAGTAGTTTGCGAGTTATTCGCAATTAAATGATGGTCTACGAATAAGGCCATTTTTATTTTTCGCTAAAAATCGCTTTCTGCTTTGCAAGCAGATAGCAGAAAAAAGAAAAGAAAATATAAAAAGTAGGGAAGCGGTGTATGTTCTAGATAGGCATAGCTATCCAGAAATGCTCTAATTAGCCCGTAATACCCTGCGACAACTACGGACTGCGCAGGTGGCCGAAAAGTAAACTTTGCAGGCAAGCATGAAAAATATATGCAATTAAGGGATGAGCTTGCGCGAAAACGCTAGAAATCCAGCAAGGAATATTATATCTACAAGGGAATTCAGTGGAGCTTGTAATTAACTCACGGTTAGAAGGCCACAGCATACCGTTTTCAGGGGATACTGAGTCACATAAACAACCAGTAAAATAGAGTTTAGCATTTTTTAAGCCTCTAAACTTTTCTAAAGCTTACAGCAAGGTCGCATGAGCCAGATCTACCTGAGTAACTCAGGGGATCTTTCAGATCCGTTGACAGATTTCGGCCTGCAAAATACACACATTACTTAGCTAAACATCACAAGATTTATCCCTTAGAGCCGATTTTCTATATTAATGAGGCTCTGTATCTAACATCAGTGAGCTATAGGAGCCTGTCACTAATAATAAAGAAATGAGCATGGGAAAATTTAGTAAAATTTAGCTAATTGCATTTGGGCGTGAAATCCGTTTTGGTCTGCATTGGTTGGGCATTAACAACTCTACTTCTGGTGGTTGAGCTTGCTTATACTTGAGGTATTGTTATGCCTCATGTGTAGATGCACACTATTGTGCAGTTCTTTGATGAATTTCGATTTATTTCTCTCCATTTTTAAGTTCCGAAGATAGTGCCGGCGGTGTTCATCCAGATGGCAATGTTAACTGGCACTCTAATGTCACACCGACTATTTCTTTTGTGGTTTTCCTGGCAAGAGCTGTTCTAGCACCCTAGGCAAAGAGCGATAAGGTAAATCAGGAGTAGAATAGTAACAAAAACCAGTGGGAGCTGGTCGTTCACCCGCCATTACGCATAACGCATGGTAGGCTTTGGAGCCAGCTAAAATATAAATGACACACGGGCGGCCAAGAGAAGAAAAGTGGTGATGGAAAGTTTCTGGTGCTCCAGCCAGCCAGTGTGACAGGGGCCTCTCTGTCATTGGTTAGCTTTCGTGCCAGTGAAATGAAATCTGGAAATGCGAGTGTTTTACGAGCAAAAGCAGTTAAAGAAGAGGATCTGATTTTCATTATGCCTGTCTACTAGTGTTGCCAATAGCGAAAGGCACATGTATACCAGATAAAGCTAAGTATATGGGGTCAAGAGAGAGTAAGTGGAGAGCAAAATGTCTGATTCTTGAGCCTAGAACTGTTAAAGTGCGCTCTTTGTCAACAATAAGAAAGATTATTTTTTTTATTTTGCGGTTTAACCACTGATAGTGTTTGGAGACTGCTGAGTATAGTAACTAGCGCTCAGACTTAATGAAAAAGATTCTATTAGGGCCCGCTGGCAACCGACATCTAGGAAGACACACAAAGGTTCATTTAAAGCCGGCATTTAGACGATTTTGGACAATTCTAATGCTACGCTTAGGTGCATCCGCAGCAGAAAACGTTTTCAACATTCTATGCAAGGCTTAGGTCTGGTAGCATGCCTTTACTAGGGGTACCATAGAGGTCATAAGCCTAATACTTTTTCCACGGATCTAGTGGTCAAGAAGTTGAATGTGATAAAAGTCTGAAGAGAAGGGATGAAGATGTAGATAAGAAATAAGGATTGAAGGAAGAGGTCGGTGAAGAATAAGATCATCTTGTATTCAGTTTGCTATTCTTAAACCCTGGAAAATGGGTGCGACAGATACCGTTAAAGTCTCTTAGGTGCTAGAACGGTAACCACAGTGGATGTGGATGAGTTTTGAGCTGAAGGTGCTTAGATGTCTTGCACTACATCGTGGGCGTCCTTAAGCTATATCAGGGCCAGTTTCAAAGAAGTGGTCTTGCGAATCGCAGATATGGAAGATGCTTTGTAGATTGCCAAAACATAGGAATTTTTGTATCTCCTTCCTGAAGACCTGCAAATTTTGGATTTCTCTTATTCTGAGAGGCAACCTGTTCCATATGTTCACGTAGACAACTAAGAAGAAACGAGACCGCAGTCTCTTCTTTGCCTTTAGCGGAGTAATGGAATGGCCCCTGTTTCGGAGTCTTGATTCAGACGCGCTCCTTAGTTTAAGACAAGTGATATTACTGTGCAACTTTCTATGAATTAGCTTGTGTAAGAAGCACATGTTAAGGATAATGCGCCTTTGCCATAGGGGCTGAATTTTAAGGTGTTCACACCTTTGTCGGTAATTCAGCGCTTGCTGCGGTGGAGTCAACATCTTTGTAAAGCGTCGCTGAGCTTTCTCAAGCAGAACACGGTCCGACTTACGTAGATTGCTGCATATAAAAGAGTAATATTCTAGATGTGGCCTGACGTGACTCTTATACAGTTCTAGCCTTGCATCGGCGGTTTCTATGCAACGGCGTCTGTCTCTCTTAAACCTCGCTCGCCTGTTAACTTCTTCATCGAAA